ATTTTCATTAATGTAACAGTGCCCTCTATGTTCCAGAGATTGCACTGAGGGCAAAATCATTCTTTGTACATTCAATAAAGCTTCCCTTTTTATTTCAATTTTTTTTAAGAAAGGATGAATTTACCATGTTTACTTTTTTTATTGTTAAGTTCCATTAAAAAAACCCCAAGAAAGAATGAAATGGAATCTTAAATTTGAAGCTGTTAATCTCATTGTAAACACCCAGTCACATACCAGTTTCTGACATTAAAAAAAAAAAAACCAACAGATTTTTTTTGTTTGTTTTTTTTGTTTTGTGGAGGGACAAACGGTGGCACAAATATTTTTCAAACCTACAATCAACATTTAAAAAGTCTCAGAAGTAATACTGTATTTGCTTTAAACAGAGGATCATAGCTAGGGAATTATGGGTTTTCTGCTCACAGGAAATGTTCAAGACACTTCATGGTGAAAGGGAAGAATGTATGGATTATGAGGCACTAAGATGTATGCACCTTCATATCCACTGATTCTTTATTATACAGGGCTGACCAGATTTCTTAATATATCTTAAACATAAAAATGGGAACTATTCCTTCATATTGTGTACAAAATTGTCACAACCAAATTGTAACACAAAGGAATTCTCTCTGATGCTTCCCTAACGTTAACAAGACTTCTTGAGTACATAATTTCTTTATAGATAGTTAAAAAAAAAAAAAGAAAAGAAAAAAAAAGAAAAGAAGTAAAAAGCATAAAGGGAAAAGGTCTTCCATGAGAGCTACGGCACTTAGCTTGTACGTAGTGGGACAAAGCTTGTAAGTAAGTTATAAGCATTTATTTTGGGACCAGGAAACCACAGCTCATTATTCAATCAAGAGGGAAGAATGATGGCATTAAACACAAAGAGAGGACAGCCGGAGTCCAGGTGGGAAGCATGAGGAAAATAAAGATTAATTTAAATTTTCTCACCTTATTTTGAAACAATTCAGTTCTCCATTAGTTTTCAGTCTTTACACATTGTAGAGTCTCTACACATTGATAGGAAGGAATCAGAGAGTAACAGACTACTAACCCAAATTTATTTTTTTTTTCTTTTTCTTTTTCTCAACTTCTGAGCTACTATTTACTGCTTCTAAATGCTCCTGAAGTTATAGAATCATAGAATCATAGAACAGTTAGGGTTGGAAAGGACCTTAAGATCATCAAATTCCAACCCCCCTGCCATGGACAGGGACATCTCGCTCTAAACCATATTACCCAAGGCCTCGTCCAACCTGGCCTTGGACACTGCCAGGGATGAAGCATTCACAACATCCCTGGACAACCTATTCCAGTGCCTCACCACCCTAACAGGAAAGAATTTCCTCCTTATATCCAATCTAAACTTCCCCTGTTTAAGTTTTAACCCATTACCCCTTGTCCTACCACTACAGTCCCTAATGAAGAGTCCATGCCCAGCATCCCTATATGGCCCCTTCAGATACTGGAAGGCTGCTATGAGGTCTCCATGCAGCCTTCTCTTCTCCAGGCTGAACAGCCCCAACTTTCTCAGCCGATCTTCATATGGGAGGTGCTCCAGTCCCCTGATCATACTTCTTGCCCTCCTCTGGACTCGTTCCAACAGATCCATGTGCTTCTTATGTTGAGGACACCAGAACTGCTCACAACGCTCCAGGTGAGGTCTCACAAGAGCAGAGTGGCAGGATCACCTCCTTCGACCTGCTGGTCACGCTCTTTTTGAGGCAGCCCAGGACACGGTTGGCTTTCTGGGCTGCAAGCGCACACTGACAGCTCATGTTCATTTTCTCATTGACCAGCACCCCCAAGTCCTTCTCTGCAGGGCTGCTCTGAATCTCTTCTCTGCCCAGTCTGTAGCTGCGCCTGGGATTGCTCCAACCCAGGTGTAGGACCTTGCACTTGGCATGGTTAAACTTCATGAGGTTGGCATCAGCCACCTCAGAAGCATGTCAAGCTCCCTCTGGATGGCATTCCTTCCCTCCAGTGTATCAACCGAACCACACAGCTTGGTGTCATCGGCAAACTTGCTTAGGGCGCACTCAATCCCACTGTCCATGTCAGTGGTGAAGATGTTAAACAAGACCGGTCCCAACACCGATCCTTGAGGGACACCACTCGTAACTGGTCTCCAGCCAGACACTGAGCCATTGACCACAACTCTTTCCGTGCGTCCATCCAGCCAGTTCTTTATCCATCGAGTGGTCCATTCATCAAATTGATGTCTCTCCAATTTAGAGACAAGAATGTCGTGTGGGACGGTGTCAAACGCTTTACACAAGCCCAGGCAGATGGCATCAACTGCTTTACCGCTGTCCATCAGTTCTGTAGCTCCATCATAGAAGGCCACGAAATTGGTCAGGCAGGATTTCCCCTTAGTGAAGCTGCACTGGCTGTCACCAAGCACCTTGTGGTTTTTCATGTGCCGTAGCATGCCTTTGTGGAGAATCTGCTCAAAGATTTTGCCAGGCACAGAGGTGAGACTGACTGGTCTGTAATTGCCCGGGTCATCCATTTTCCCCTTCTTGAAAATGGGGGTTATATTTCCCTTTTTTCAGTCATCGGGAACTTCACCTGACTGCCATGATTTTTCACATATGATGGACAGTGGCTTAGCAACTTCATTTAGCAGCTGCTTCAGGACCTGTGGATGGGTTTCATCAGGACCCATGGGCTTGTGCACATTCGGATTTTTAAGATGGTCTCGAACCAATTCCTCTCCTACAGTGGGCCCAAGGTCTTCATTCTCACAGTCCCGGCATCTGCCTCCCAAGACTTGGGTGGTGCGGTCAGAGCCTTTGCTAGAGAAGTCAAAGGCAAAGAAGTCATTCAGAACCTCAGCCTTCTCCAAATCCTGTGTAGCTAGTTCACCTGAGAGCTTCCTGAGGGGGCCTACATTGTCCGTAACCTGGTTTTTATTTGCTATGTACCTGTAGAATCCCTTCCTGTTATCCTTAATATCCCTAGCCAAGTTTAATTCTAACTGGGCCTTAGCTTTCCTAACCTGGTCTCTAGCTTCCCGGACAATAACCCTGTACTCTTCCCAGGCCACCTGTCCCACTTTCTCCACCAGCCCCCGCTAGACCTGGCCTACAAACCTGGGTCCCAAACCCCTGACTGTGACACCACCCTTTTAACCATTTATTAACCTGGCTAACCCTCCTATTTTTTTTAATTCCTCCCCTGTATCCTGGAGAATAGATGAGAAGACAACCTGATCTCCAGAGCCCTTAACCACCTCTCTCAGGGCTCTGTAGTCCTTCTTTATGTTCCCTAGGCTACTACTATCTATATCCCTAGCACCCACATGTATCACCAGAAGTGGGCAATAGTCTGTGGGGCTTACCAGAGCAGGCAGTCGCTCTGCCACATCCCTGATCCATGCCCTGGTAGGCAACACACCTCCCTTGAGACAGGGTCAGGCCGACAGAAAAGTGCCTCTGTCCCGTTCAAAGTAGAATCCCCTACCACCACGACTCGCCGCTTTTTCCTGGCAGCACCAGTAGAAATCTTCTTTACTAGTGCATCAATAGGCTGTTTCTGGCGCAAGTGCGTTTCCCCATGAGCACCCTGCAGGACGGCAAAGCGGTTCTGTGTAGGGGCAACAGGTTCAGGAGGAAGTCCCTTGCTTTTAATTGTCCAAGGCAGTGAGCTTGCTGCACGCTCTTCTCACTGTCCTGAGGTTCTCAAACTCAACCATCTCATGATCGCCACAAACAAGGCTGCCCTGGAGCGTCACATTTCCCACCAGCCCTTCTCTGTTGGTGAGCACGAGGTCAAGCATAGCGCCTCTCCTTGTCGTCTCCTCTGTTACTTGCAGAAGGAAGTTGTCTTCCAGACAATCGAGGAACCTCCTGGATTGCTTGTGCCAGGCTGCACTGTCCCTCCAAGAGGTATCAGGGTGGTTGAAATCCCCCGTGAGGACAAGGGCCTGAGAGCGTGAGGCTCTTCCTATCTGTCTAGAGAGCACTTCATCTGCAGAGCCCTGCAGATCCTGCAGATCAGGCGGTCTGTGACAGATCCCCACAGTAATGTCTATCGCTGTTCTCCTTTTAACCCTGACCCACAAACTCTCTGTTGACTGCTCACCTGTCTCCAGACAGAGTTCCATACTCTCCAGCCTATCCCTAACACAAATAGCAACTCCTCATCCCCATCTGCCGGGCCTGTCTTTTCTGAAGAGCCTCTAATCTTCCATTCCAACACTCCAGTCATAGGAGCCATCCCACCAAGTTTCTGTGATGCCTATTACATCATATCCCCGTAGATGTGCACACATCCCTAATTCCTCTTGTTTGTTCCCCATACTACGGGGAGGATTTGGGCACCCAGAGGAGTGTTCCTTCTGTAAGAGGCAGCTGAGTGAGATGGAATCTGGTGCTGCCTGCCAGCCAAGATGACAAATCTCACCTTTTCTCCCTCCGCTTCTGCTCAAGTCCAGCGGAGAGACAAAGATGAAGCACAACTGTCAGACCAGACAGTATTTGGGAGCCTATGTCAGCAGAGCTGCTCCCCCACCACAGCCACGACCTGAGATCCTGCTTTTCCTCACCTTCAACTTGCAGATGGAAGCAAGTTAACTCCCTGCAAGGAGCCAGGAGGATCCACACTGCCTCCCCCTCTTAGGAGCAACACTGCCCATGGCAGCAGATCCAGGAGGGCATGGCAAGCCCTTAGAGGATCCACTGGCTGCAGAGAAGTTTTCTCAGGTCACACTTTCAAGGTCTCCAATAAGAATTTAATTCAACAACCTAGCTACTGCATAGTAAGTCCCCCGAGTACTAGGTACATGTCTTGATTGCTGCTAAACCTCAGTAAAGGACTCTTGAATCATCCATTGGCAATTAATTAGCAAACAAGAACTAATTGCAACAGATAGGTAGCCGCTTAGACTGAAGTCAGTTGTTTTACGTTAATTAAATATGGAGGCCCATGAATTACGCAGACATGTTCTAACCAACATACAGGCAGAGACAAGCTCTGGTGTGGGGAAAAGAGTTATTATTTACTGGCCCAATAAAGCACCCACAAGAAGTGCAGGCTGCAGCACGACATCCTCGGCACAGCTCCTTTGGGCCTGGTGCTGGCAGCAGGGTGCTACTCCTCCACACGTGGGTTGAGGCAGGAGGAACGGAAAGCCTTGTGCAGAGCCCTCAGCACTCTCCTGAAGCGGTAGAGTCATCGCCGTGGGGCCGCTCCTGGGTCTGGAAGAGTGGCAGTGCCTGTGGGGGGGAAGAAGAGCTGCAGGCGACGGTCTTCCTTTGGCAACCCATTCCAGTGGCTCACCAGTCTTACAGTACAGAACTTCCTCCTTAAATCCAACCTAAACTTCCCCTGTTTAGCTTTGAACCCATTACCCTTGTCCTATCACTACAGTCCCTGATGAAGAGTCCCTCCTCAGCATCCTTATAGGCCCCTTTCAGATACTGGAAGGCTGCTAGGAGGTCTCCACTCAGCCTTCTCCAGGCTGAACAGCCCCAATCTTCTCAGCCTGCCTTCGCATGGGAGGTGCCCCAACCCCCTGATCATCCTCGTGGCCCTTTGCACCGAAGGCTTGCAGCCCTCAGCCCATGGAGGGGAGGCTGGGATGCACCCGAACTCATGCACGCACTGCTGCTGGCCTGGCCTGGGTGCCACCCAACTTGGGGAAGTACCTGGCTGGTTCTCGCTGTCCTGAACTACAGCAGGCGACATTGACGGTGACTCCGCATCCAAGCTTAGTGCCACGTCTGGCTCTTCCACCTGCTGCTACCTTGTTCCCTGGATGACAGTCACAGCCTTGCCCAGGTGTTTCCTCACAAAGCGTCTGACCCTACCCTGCAGGGTAGCAAGAGCAAAGGCAGGGGATGGGGGCAATGTCAGTTGGGTGACACAGGGAGCACCAGAAATAACCCGGTCACAAACACCCTGGGAGCTGCCATCCAAGGCCTTGGGATCCCCGGTGCCAGCCACATGCACCTCACTCACCTGGCGCGGAGAGTCCCGACACAAGGGAGAAGCTGCTGCACCTCCACTGTCATCTGCTCCTGGAGGAACGTGGGATGTTCCAGCCTCTGCTGCAGGGATCTCAGTCAAGAAAGCAGCCACTTCATCCTCAAGTGCTGTTAGGCAGGCAACGGCTGCGCTGGCCTCTCCCTGAGGCTCTGAGGCCGCAGCAGACTCAATGTCCTCAAGTGGTGCAGGCGTCAATGCTGCCATTGACACACCCAGGTTTTGGATCATGTCCTGATACTCCACCAGCTGTTGGCTGGTTCCCTGTTCCACAGCCTGGACCGGAGGCTCCCTTGTGATGAGCGCGGCTGCTTCCTGTGGACCCACCTCATGCGCATTTGGGCTGAGCAGGGCAAGCGCCTGGCTCTGTGCCTGTGGTGCTGCCTCCTGCTCATCAACACCAAGAGAAGCTGGCCCCAGTGCTGCCTCCTCTTGTGACACTGGAGTGAGAGGTGCGCGGTGCTCCTCTTCCTCTGCAGCTCCACCCAGTGTAGAAGCTGCCAGTTTGGTGTCTGTGGGTCCAGCTGGGACAGGAGACGTGCTCTTCAGGTCTCCAGCAGCCTCTCCTGTTGCGTCCATGCCCATGCTGGTGGGGCAGCTGGATCTCTCCTGGGGATCTGCATGGGTGTCCTGGAAGAGCTCTGGGACCGAGGGGTTGACCCAGAGGTTGCATACGTTGATCTCTTCAACTTCGGACACATCTTTGTACATGGCCTCTTCCTATTTCTCCTCTTCTTTTCTGTCCAGCTCCTCCTCATCAGCTTTCTCGCCCAAGGTCCCTGGCACCACCTGTAATCACACAAGAGGGATTGCGTGGAGCAGTGGCTGGCCACAGGCAGAGGCTAATCCCCCTGTCCTGTCCCGTCCTGTCCTTGGCACTCACCTGCCTGTGACTGGGCATCCGTCGGAGCCACAAGGCCAAACTAGGCCTCCGGCCCTCCTGCTGCTGGAGCTCCCTTTCCACAGAGCTGCCCATCAGCCAAGGCAGGCTGGCTCTCCATTGTATGTGGACCTTGCGCCTGGTGTGGGCCATGCTGCTCCTCTCCGGCTCCTGCAGAGGCTCTGGCCTAGGGAGCAGCAGGAATCTCCCTGCCACAGGTAGCCCATGCAAGACTCCTGTTAGAATCTCCTCAGTCTCTCTGCTGCCAGCCATACGTGCTTCGCTCACTGGGTGCCCAGATTCATGAGCAAAGGCAGAAGCTCCTGCATCTCCTCCATTGGCTGCTTCTGGGGCAGAGTGGCATGCTCCAGCCTCTGCCACAGGCATCTCAGTCCATGAAGCTGCCACTTCCTCTTGCTGTGTATCTGGCAAGACAACGGCTGTTTCAGCCTCTCCTTGATGGTCTCCACACACAGGAGACTCAGTGTCCCCAGTCCCCGCAGACTTCTAGGAGAATAACTCCTGTAGGTGAGCTGAAGTAAGCCCATAGTAAACTGAGATGTTTTAAATATTCCATGGCAACATTTTCTTGAAGCTTATAAGAAAAAAAAAAAAAAAGCGGTGGAGAAGTTAATATATTTTACTTCAGTTGAAATTTTTCTATAAAAATAGCTTTGTTGAAGGTCAAGGCTTTTTGAATAAATAAATATCTTACAGTTTTCCAGAAGGAAGGTTCCTGAAATCATTTACAGTGAAATTGTTGTAAGATAAACTCATTGCAACTGCCTTTATTTCTCTCTTGAAAATGGCAGTGTTCAATGAATTCTATGAATCCTTAGAAATAACATACTTCCAGTACTGAGAGTTGAACCTTCTCACTGTCCAAAAGGATTCCATTGTTTACTTATACTTTGCAATGTGTATGCTTACAGAAGTGCAAGATTATACAGAACAATGGCCTGTTACGCATGCTTGTTCAAGCCAAAAATGGCAATTCCCCAGAACCTCAGGGTTTTTTCATGATAATTGAGGCAAAGACAGTTTGATATAATATACCAGTTGCCTTTCATTCAGACAACGATCATGCTTTCTGTGGCAGTGTACGCACAAATTCATGTTTTTTCCAATTATCTCTGTATTATTCCCCTACTCTTTCCCTACTCTCAGGTCTTAAGTGTCTGGGATCCCTTGACGCTGCCTGCTGTCTATCTTCTCCATATTAGCACAGAGTAGCTTTAGGACTATTGCTATTCCCTGTTTGCTCTGTACCAACTATGTGAGATTCAACAAGGCTCAGCGTCAGATCCTTCAGTTGGGTCTCAACAACCCCATGCAATGCTACCAGCTTGGGGAAGAGTGGCTGAGAAGCTGCTCTTTGGAAAAGGACCTGGAGTTGCCAATTGACGGCCGGCTGAACATGAGCCAGCTTGTGCCCAGGTGCCCAAGAAGGCAAACAGCATCCTGGCTCATATCAGAAACAGTGTGGCCAGCAGGAGCAGGGCAGAGATTGTCCCCCTGAAATCGGCACTGGTGGGGCTGCATCTCAAATACCATGTTTGGTTTTAGGCCCCTTGCTATAGGAAAGACACTGAGGTTCTGGAGTGTGTCCAAATATCAGCCAAAGCAGGTGAAGAATCTAGAGCCCATTTCTTATGAGGGCATAAAATCAAACCAGCACGGCACATGTAAATAAGACAAATTTGATGATTCTGTACATTACACAAACTACAGATGCCCATCTTAGAGCACTTTCAATTTATTGGAAGTTCAAAGTACTTCAAAAAGTGGACAGAACTATTATCTCTGGCTCAGGCATCAACTGAAGTACAAATCACTAGAGGCTGTAAGGAGCATCAGCAAATGTTACTCTGTCCTGTTGCTGGAGAGTTTCTGTGAGTCTTACAGTACCACTGTCATATGGAGTGCTGATTAGTTGGACTGTGCTGTAACCTGTCATGACTATCTTTGCATTAGTGAGAGGGGTTTCTAAAACTCAGTAACCTGAATGTTTCTACCTGCAGTACCTGAACAGGTCTAAGCTAAAAATATCTAACTGTAACCTCTAACTGTATGACCTTTTCCTTTTCCATTTTGATACAAACAGGACACTGACTTTTTTTCCAGATGTTAAAATTATTACAGATAGCCTTTTCAAAATAACTGTCAAACATTGCTTGCTTTGTGTCACCAGTTTTTGAAAATAGAATTGTGCAGCTGATGTAGTCCTAAAATATTTTTTAACATATTACTTCCACATATAGATTTAAGAACAGATTTTTAATTTCCTGTTCAGCCCCCTTTTTTTTAGTTAGGTTTTTCTTCTCTCACCAAGTTGAAGGATAATGAATTTCTGAGAGTCTACATTGGCATGTGGTCTTTCTTATGATGCATATTACCAGTTGAAGAAGAACAGTTAATTCAAAAAAACTTGAAGATGGTGTGGGATCCTGTCTTCAATCCATTCTTGTTGCTGAGAGACAGAGGAGCTCTCTGGTACATTCATAATCATACATTGTCTTTCTTAATCAAAAATAGAGGAGATGTAATTGTAGGACTAATAAGAAATGTAAGGTGTTTTAGAAAATGACTTGTTATAATCTGTTGGAACAGATAAAAGGAATATTGACTTGCTTGTGAGGTGGGTTGCTGGCAACCTCATGAAGTTTAACCATGCCAAGTGCAAGGTCCTATACCTGGGTCGGAGCAATCCCAGGCACAGCTACAGGCTGGGCAGAGAAGAGATTCAGATCAGCCCTGCGGAGAAGGACTTGGGGGTCCTGGTCAATGAGAAAATGAACATGAGCCAGCAGTGTGCACTTGCAGCCCAGAAAGCCAACCGTACCCTGGGCTGCATCAAAAGGAGCGTGACCAGCAGGTCGAAGGAGGTGATCCTGCCCCTTTATTCTGCTCTTGTGAGACCTCACTTGGGAGTACTGTGTGCAGTTCTGGTGTCCTCAACATAGAAAGGACATGGATCTGTTGGAACAAGTCCAGAGGAGGGCCACAAGAATGATCAGGGGACTGGAGCACCTCCCATATGAAGATCGGCTGAGAAAGTTGGGGCTGTTCAGCCTGGAGAAGAGAAGGCTGCATGGAGACCTCAGAGCAGCCTTCCAGTATCTGAAGGGGGCATATAGGGATGCTGGGCATGGACTCTTCATTAGGGACTGTAGTGGTAGGACAAGGGTAATGGGTTAAAACTTAAACAGGGGAAGTTTAGATTGGCTATAAGGAGGAAATTCTTTCCTGTTAGGGTAGTGAGGCACTGGAATAGGTTGTCTAGGGAGGTTGTGAATGCTTCATCCCTGACAGTGTTCAAGGCCAGGTTGGACGAGGCCTTGGGTAATACGGTTTAGAGCGAGATGTCCCTGCCCATGGCAGGGGGGTTGGAACTTGATGATCTTAAGGTCCTTTCCAACCCTAACTACTCTATGACTGTATGACTCTAATATTGCATCAGAAAGCTGAGAGAATTCCAGATTTTCAAGATGTTGGAAGAATTTTAGGCAGAAAATTTTCTTAGCAGGTGTTTTTATCCCGTGAAGAGAAAAGCAAGAAAGCCTGAATGCAAATTGCCCTTTATGCTGTTATTGTCAGTCGTATTTGGCAGAAAACAAGCTGTTACAGATTTATAATGATAGATTACCTTCTAGTGCAAAAGGAGACTTGGTAAGCGTGATTTCTGATGTCTCTTTAATGAAGAGACCAGTCTTTGCTAAATGCAGACTAGAGTAATCTGAAGCTAAAAGAACTTTAAGATTTCCAGGCCATTAATTTTCACTGTTTAATAAATCTAGGTAGTAGGCACAGTACAGTATCATAAAGCATAATATGTTGAATGGATCAAGAACTGGTTAACTGACTTCTTAAAAATAAGCCATCAGTAGTTAATCATCACTAGACAGGAGAATGGGGTTCCACTGGGAACAGAACATTGTACAGTGAGACATAATAAGGAAGTAATTATCTAATCACCAGCAATAAAACCTGTAGGAGGCATAAAATTTATCCCAATGGTAAATAATAATGAGAATGCAGATGCCATAAAGTAACCTGGATAGCTTGATAAACCAGTCATATCCAAATCAACTATTTCTAATGCAGCCAGATGGAAAGGTATTAATTTAATAATGGAGTTTAAAGAATGAGATTATTTTTCCTGAAGAGTCTGAAAAGATCTGCGAATCATAGTGCCAAGATAACCAGATTTCAGAACAATGTTGTAGCCATAAGAAATAATCTGCTTTTTTGGAGAAGGAAGATAAAAACTAATTACAGTGCATAGTTGATTTTATCATTGCTGGGAGTGTTATCAGGATATTCCTTACAATTCTGGTCTCTAGATATCTTAAGAGAAGGATAAAAGTTAGGGAAAGTTCATGAAAAAAAGACTAGCAAAAATGATAGAAATGTTGGAGAAAGTACCTTAAAGTGAAATATAGAACATATCAAAAATAAGATTGTAAGGTGATTTGATTACAGTGTATGAGTACCTTCACAGGGAATAGAAAAAGAAAAATATTAAGTACTAGAGGGCTCTTTTATCTAGTGGAAGACATCATAACAAGAACCAGTAGTTGGAAATTGAAACTAGATATTCACATTGGAAATAAGTTGTGCAATTTCATCAATTATGGAAGAAGATCTATCAATGCTAGTGACAGGTTTTCACATCTCTTGGTAGCTACAAATCAAGACTGGGAGGTTTTCTAAAAGCTTATTACATCCTGATATGGTGAAAAAGAATAAAGAAGTTTTTCTACATAATTTAAATCACCCAGGTGAAATTTCTAGGACAAAAACCATGAAAAGATTAAAATAAAACGGTCTCTAGAAAAAATTCCCTATAATTAACAGCCAGATATACATATTCAAATTGACAAATTCCACATGTTATCACAATATGGAGTGAAAGCACCACATTACAAGCTTGCTTTCCAGATGATCAGTTCATCCTGTCTTCAGGATTTTATAGTATTCTAAAGGGAAATTCTACACTCCATCAAAGAAAATAAAAGCACTTTCTTCATCTTCTTAATTTGATGGCTGGATTTGATGTAACGCCTTTCCTTTTGTCGTGGTTTAACCCATCCAGACAGCTTGTGCACTCACTCCCCCCACTCCCCTTCTTGCCCTCCCCCTACTCCTGGAGGGACGGAGAGGAGAATCAGAAAGAATGCAACTCCCACAGGTTGAGATAAGAACAGTTTAGTAACTAAGGTAGAACACACATCACTACTGCTACCACCAATAATAGTAATGATAAAGGAAACAACAAGAGAAGAGAATACAACACCTCCACCTCATCACCAGGCAACCGATAACTTGCCCCCCCCAGCCTGACCAAACACCGACCCATACCTCCTCCAACCCTGCAGTCCACCTGCCCTTCCAGCTAACTCCCAGTTACCTCCTGGGCATGATGTGCTGTGGTATGGAATACTTCTTTGATCACTTTGGGTCAGGTGTCCTGTCTCTGCTTCCTCCCGGCTTCCCATCCTCCCTGGCAGAGCATGAGGCTCACAAAGTCCTTGGCCAAACCAAAACATCGTTTTTTTCAGCTCTGTTCCCAGCCTGAAAGTCAAAACACAGCACTGCACCAGCTACCAAGGAGAAAAATTACTGCTACTGCTAAACCCAGGACATTATCCACCCCTTATTCCATACAATTCATGTCATGCTCAGATCCCACATTTTCAATATACCGTCACTCTTATCTAAGTGCACTCTCATCGTAGTGCATGGACCAGTCCCTATAAAGCTGCTGAGTCCATCTGGTCCATGATGTCAGGCTCCATCTCTTGTAACAGTCTTTCAGAGCAGGAGAGGCTATGTGCAGTGTTCACACTTGTGAATAACCTGGGCAATAGTGTCCATTGCTAAGTCCACCCCTCGATCATGAGTCCATCTCGATGTTGCATCTCTGTTCTGTTGGCCTTAAGGGTCATGGGCCCACCAGGCTCAAAATAATTCACTGTCCTTCCATCTCCAATGCTTCCAAAGCACTGGAGGGGCCCAGTGGACTAGATACTTGCCCATACTGTCCCACATGCCCTGCCACTCATGACTCTCCAGCCTTGGGGGAAACCTCTTGGTCCTCCTATATTGTTGTCTAACCCCAGACAAGACCCAAACCTGACTCTGCTTAAATTTCGGGGTCAGACAAAATGGCGGTGGGTAAAACACACTCTGTGTGTGTGCCAACATGCTGATCCCCATCACAATCAGCAGGCAGGTCCCAAGGGTACCCAAAGGCCATCCAAAACCTTCAGAACTCTCAAACGATGCTGCTGTACTTGTCACTGGGGCTGGTGTAGCTGCTGTGCTTGCCGGCTCTCCCACCACCAGCTTCTCTTTTCCTGAGTCCAGATCTTCCTCCTCTGCCTTGCTGGGAAATGCTGCGGGGTCTCCTGCGTCCTCCTGGGGCTCGGCGGGCGGCTTCCGGGCAATGCTCTCGGCCGTCGCGGGGCTGAGCTCGGCCGCGGGGCTGGGCTCGGCCGCGGGGCTCGGCTCCTCTGCGGGGCTCGGCTCCTCCACTGCCTCCTGCCGCTGCTCGACCGCCCCGACCTCCTCCACCGGCAGCCGTCCCCTTGAGGCCTCCGGTCCCGCTCCCTCTTGGTCCCCGGGGCCGCTCTCCCGGGTCGCTTCAGCAGCCGCCGGCTCCCGGGATCGTTCCCCCTCGGCTCCCCGCAGCCTCACGCAGACGGAGGCGAGGGCGAGGGCCAGGGCGGTGAAGAGCAGCCGGACGGCCAGGTACCAGTCCATGGCCATGTCCGTCCCGCCCTGCTGCCGGAGCCGCCCCGTATTACAAGGCATCGCCATAAAGGTTTTTTTTTCCGCTCTGTTCCCAGCCCGAAAGTCAAAACACAGCACTGCACCAGCTACCAAGAAAGAGAAAAATGACTGATACTGCTAAACCCAGGACATCTTTTCTTCTATTCATCATCACCTCATGCTCTCTATCATCCCTTCCTCTGTGACCCTTGATTATTTTATTGATTTATTTTTTCCTGACCTTAAAATTCCTTTGTCTCTGCCTTTTCTGTTGATCTCATTGAAAAGAATTTTCAGTCTCAAATGTTTCCTGGACTACCGAAGTTTTTCCTTGTGAAAAGTTAGTTATTGACACTTTGTGGTCTGTTCAGGTCTCATGATTTAAATTTACTTTACCTAGGAAGTAAGTGACCAAAAAAAAAAAAAATCTCTTAAACTATTAAAATAGATCTAGCTTTTCCAGTTTTCATTATGACCTTTGAAAAGATCTGAGTTTTATTTTATGAATACCGTATTTGATTCTTTATACCTCTCATGTTGTTGTCCACCTGATTGCATATCATTTACTCTAAAGGAGCATGAAAGCACTATTAGAAACTGAAGAAGAAAAGTAAAATAATAATAATCCAGTCAGAAACATCCCCAAAGGAAAAATCACCAGATATACAACTGTGAAGGACATTTGATTTGATAATTCATCAGGAGATTTGATAATTCATCAGTAAAAAGTGTTTTGTTCTGGAAAATGTTTCATCAAGGCTATTTCTGCAGGGACATTTGCACTCTGGTGACTCTGGACTTGTTTCACACTACCCTCCCTCCCAAGAAAACTTAAAAAAATCTTGCATTTATCCTAACCTAAGAAAGTCCCTTTTTATTACCCTATGGAGCCTGCACAGTTCTGCTCTATGATCCAGCACTGGAGGCAAGCTATTTAGTCAAGAGTGAAAAGAACATCAAAAGTCAGTGATCTGAGGAATGTCCATATTGAGTGCTGTGAGGTAATGCAGGCCACATAGTAGTAATCAGAAGAATTTGACAGGAGCATCCTTTGAATTGGTGAATGGAAAAACACATAGTACTTTTTTTGTTTTTTTTTTAATAAGTTGGCGTAAAGCCATTTTGATAAGACAATTTCAGAGATTTTCAGAGAAAGATCCCAGGATAGATTTGATGACATAGTAATATATGTTATCCTGGCATCTGCAACCCAGGACTTAGGTTGGGATTGGGTAGGTTATGAAGTGAAGGTGAAACATGAGAGCATGATGATTAATGTCTGTATGAGGGATGATAAGATCTTGAGCAAGAACTGTAATCCAGTCTGGAATGTGTGATATTGCTGTATTCCTCATTTCTTTCATAATAAATTTAGAAGATAACTATTTGTGTACAGGTTTTTTTTGTTTAGTGTGGACTGACCTAACCTTAGTTTTCTTAAACACTATTATTTTTTTTTGTTCTGTCCATCAAGACATGGAAGACTTTCTTTTCATAACAACACTTTACATGACCTGAGGTTATTATCTTATCCTTGATTAGTCTTCTCTAGGTAAGTAATTCAAGTCCTTTCAATTTGTCTTTAATATCTTTATTCAAATGTCAGTGCTTGCATTAACTTATCTGGTGATTAAAACTCTTCTTAATGTATGATGTCCAAAAATGTGCCTTGAAGTATGATGCAGTTCTGCATAACCATGCTAGAAAAGAACAAATACATAGATTCCTGCATTTTCAAGATGTCACTTCTATTTATCCCACTAGAACTGGCATTTGTCTTTTTTTGCAACTTATTGCTGCGTATGTTCATAAGACTGATTTAAATCCGTTTTATAAAAAAAAAAAAAACAACAAAAAAACAAACAAAACCAAACCAAAAACTAAGAGGACTTGCTGAAGGTCATGTAGTGGAGAAAGGTCTTGAGTGTTATTCAGGAGATATAAACCGTTATTCATGCTGTCTTGGAATATGTTTGGTTTCATTTTCTTTTCAGAATACGTTTGCCTCATTGACATGTGCACTTACAGTCTGTTTCTGCCCAGCAGATCTGACATGCTGCTTGGCAGACACTGCATTCTGCCTTCTCCCGTGGCACTGTGTGTTGGTAACGATCGCTCCTACAGAGCTCATAACAAATCACTCAAGCATTTCCCCAAACTTCGGATTATAAAGAATAAATATTAAGAAGACTTCATCCAGCAAAAGGAGTACCCTGAGATGTACACAAAGGAATAGTTTGAATCTTCAGACAGCATAAATTATTTGAGTGACAGATATACACAAAAATATTTAGCTGCCTATATGCCGTTCTTATAGGTTTAATGTTGTAGGCTGATGTGATTTTTGCTGTGGTCTGGAATGTGACCTCTACCCTACTTTTTTGTAATTTGCTTTAAGATCATTTATGGTGGAAACAGAAAAGACGGAAGTTTGGGATGTTTGGAAAAATATACTTAACATTTGTGAAGGGTCATCCAGTATGATGCTATGATTTTTTTGTCAACAACTTTCTGTAGTTCAAATCAGTGCTATGTTATAAAAGATGTTAGCACAGTGATTAGGCTGCTATTCTGGTTGTAAGAGAGAACGTCAGTTTCCTAGAATTAAACATCAAGGGGCAGTTCAGATGCCCCAGGTTATAAATCATGCTTCTATGTGTCCATAGCAGTTCAGGGAGGCAGGTGTGGAGAAAAAAAACACTGAATGAAGCTAAAATGAATGTGCAGGAGAGAAACATAAGCAAAAATCCCCAGTGAAGTCCTGACCTAGTTCAGCTTTAGCTTGGCAGGGTACCCTACTCATTTTACTATAATTTAGACATAGCTTATCTCCTATTTGCAAAATTGTGAAGATCTGCAGAAAGAAATATTGCCATTTCAGAATAGCCAGATATAGTGATGTACATACAGAATAAACATTTCTAACTCCAAATTGAGCAGGGAAGGAACCTGAAACTTTGGCCCAAATAATTGTTCTGATGAGGGCTGTTCTCCAGCATCCTGCTGTTCCTCTGTTTCATCCACTATAATTTAAATTTCAAAAGGTTTTTATTTAAGCCTAATGTCAAACAAGAACATTTGTTGAATGCTCATAAATTGTTTTGCAATGGAAAAACTGTTTACCAATCTACTCAAAATCAAAAAGGCTTTTGCTATTTGGCAAGTGACAAAAGATGAATATTTGGAGGTACATACAATATACATTTAAAAAACGTTAACATAAAAGTCAGACCAACTACAGGTTTATTTTATAAGCCTTTATAGTGTCAAGGTTATCATTAAGTAATACTGTGATAATATGTGAGGAAGAATCCACACTGAGCCATATTTATTAACACCTATGCTGATAGCAACTTGGAAACTTCGCTGTACTCAAAAGTTTCTGCAAAAACAGAGTCCACTCTCTGAACAGCTCATAATCTAAGTAGATCAGAGTGTCAGTGGAAAAGCAGCTGTGTATGATGGGACATATATTGTTCATTATTTCATACTGCAAAGAACAGGTTGCACAAAGAAGTGGTAAATGCTTCATCCCTGGCAGTGCTCAAAGGTGAACAGAGCCTTGGGAGACATCATCTGTTGTGAGGTGTCCCATCCCATGGCAGGAGGGTTGGAACTAGATGGTTCTTTGCAACCATAACCATTCTATGATTTTATGACTTGCAGAATCATGAGAACAGTTTCAATACTGATGTATTTTTTCATCTGGTTTGGTTTTGGTGTTTCTTTTTTCTGTCCTTTATGAAAACATGTCCCTGTGTCTAAAAGTTTCCTCTGGTTGATTAATATCAAGTTTCATGTTATCTCAGTATTTTCTAGTACTATCCAGCATGATGAAACCTACTTCAGCAGTGACCTTATTTCAGCCTAGCTATATATGTTAACTTGCATTCTTTTAATGTCTGACTTGATATTACTGTTTACTGCCTTGTTTCTAACATTTCATCTCTCTGCTTTATCTCTGTTTCAGCTGTGTTCAATGCTCCTTTCTATGTAATATCAGACTGATTATCACTGAATTTCATTAATATGCTCTTTGTTCTTTTAAATCAGAGATCGGAAATAAGAGACATCACAAAAACCTCATTTCTTCCAGTAAAAGCCTCCAAGCAAATTCATATTTTGCCATTGTTCATTAGCTTCTGTTTATATTTCTTCAGCAAGCATGCAGTTCAAGTCAATACACAAGTAATGTTATCTGAATAATGTTATCTATTTTGCAACATTTACTCACTTCCAGCTATGTCCGCCTAGATAGTATCCTTTATCCTGAAGATAATTATAGTCAAATAATTTAGAATGAAAGTAAGATTATTAGTTCATTACAATGCTAGGATTGTTGCATTTCATCCACACAAGATGTAACAGTAGCAAAATGCAGGCGTATCGTGTGCACGTGTTAATTTCAAATATTGCTCTGTAAATCTACACAGCTACATAAACATATACTAAAATTGCAGCGTATTTATTGACATAGGTTTTACACCGTTATTACTGCCACAAAAGAACATATTTTCATCTTGTGTGCTCTTAATCTGCTGATACATTTTCTAATTTGTGAAGGCAATTTTGCATCCTTACACATTTATTTGCAATGCAGTAGTCTAAAGACACAAATCACTACACATATACACACAAGCATGTAGAGATATACACAAAGATGTAGGCACAGTTTTATCTATGCATAAATATGTATGTGTATAAGTGTGTAAAAATTCATATCTGCTTTTATATGGATATTTGTGTTATAGGTATATCTGGCAATTTGTTTAAAATATGTTGCTAATTTATACATCTGTATAAAGTCTGTGAGTTACATTGCAATTTTGGAAAGAGTTATTCTGACTTCCAAGCAAAAGTTTCCGTAATTTCCAGTATTTAAACTTCCACTTGTTACTTTTCTTGCATTCATGATACACAATTATAAATAGAGACTCTAATTGCATCACATTTCCTGAGCTCTGAATGCTGTTGAATTTAAGAATAACTTCATTATACCTTTAGGAAGCTCTGTAATAAAAGTATCAATTAAAAAGCCACAC